ACGTTAGGATGTGAATTCCTCTAGCCGTGGATGTAGTTTTCTGGAGTTCTGGTTCAGCTGCTTGTTGTAGGTAATGAATTATGGGTGAATCATCCAATTTTATGCAGCACTTCTTTGTTTCCATGAATTTCTATAGAAGTGTACTCTGCCATGGGTACTGACAGAATGCTGCTTGAATTTTGTATCCTCAATGTGATTATAATTTTTAATGTGTTCATGTCTCGCATAAATTCCAAAATGTTATTATGTTTTATAATTATGTATGAACCATTACCAAAAGAGAAAGCTGCACGTTCTTAAATACCTGTGTACACGCATTGTTAAATTCAGAGATATTTTATAGCACTTATGCAGCCATGGGAGCAATAAAAAGTATTTGACTTCTAGAGCACAGCTTCTTGCACACCATAATTTTGATTAAATAGCACTACAACCCAATTCAGCTGCTTGATTAATTTTTCAAAAAAAAACCCAGTTCCCACTGCTGCTGTCAGAAATCTTTTCAGCAATTTTACCAAATGCTTTGGGGAAATCTGTGCCACTGTTAGCTGAAAGTTAGTAGAAGAAAAAGTTACAAAATGCACCTTCATGTGAAGGTGATGACCCTCTGCGCTTGACACTGTGAGGTGCTGAGCGCTCAGAGCTCCGTCCAGAAAAGCACTTCAGCACCTACTGAGGATGAACTGAAATGATTTGCTGGAGGTGAGCCAGAGTGCTCTGTGTTTGTGTGACAGAAACATCTGCACTTTGTAGTAGACCCTCTATTTATTTTGGAGGGTAGAATAAATCTTTTTTCTTTAAAGTACATCAGAGCAAGAGAATTTTTGTTTCCTTTGAAAACACAACATATTGAGGTGACTCCAGAATTCCCGCCATTGTTGAGTGCTCAACCTCTAAAATGAGGGATTTGTATTTTCTCCAAAGCATTAGGATAGAATGAGCTATATCAGTTTAATTAAAAGAAGAGGGCCAAGTACCAGTACCATTTTCATTTGCAGATGATTTTGTACCCAAGGGACAAGTACTGTGTTTCTTTAGTCTTTTGTTTAGATCTGAATTAGAAAGCATGCATCTTAGTTTAGTTCCTCAGCAAGGGGCACTACATTTTATTCTGAGCATCCAGACCTTTAGAAAATCTCTAGAAGTCAATCACTGGGGTGCCTGATAGCTGCCAATTAACCTAGTTAGTAAAGAAGAATTTTTTTTTTTTTTAAGGAATATTTTTCTGTCATGGTGGCAAGCTTTGTGCAGCTGGCTCTGCCAGTGTATATTCCTTTAAATGTTTACTAGGAGGAAAGACGTGAAACTGTGTTGTAGGTCAAGTTCTTGGTGGTGTCCAATACATGAACTAGTGGTAACCCTTTTTTTTTTTGAGTGTGGGAGTTAGCAATTTACATGAAATACGACAATCAGGAAAGAAGAAAAATAAGTAATATGCATAGCATAGTAGTAGAACTGGGAAGCACAAAACAGGGAATTACAGATATTTGAGGCTAAACTACTTTTGATATAGAAAAGAGGCTGAAATCTTGGTCTCTAATCTGATAGAGCATTCTGGGAGAGGACAAAGAATAAAATCTCTGCCTCCCCTCAGGATTTGGATACTGCACAGAGATTTGACTTTGTCCTGCCAGCCACCTTATTCTTCCTTTTGTTTATTACAGGCTTAAATAAGATCCTTGAGAAAGCTGTTAGTATTGTCACATTGCATTAAACCAAATCAAACACTTACATGGCTGCAGGGAAATCACTGGAACTTTTAATGATTTATTAAGAGAAGCGTAACTATTGTGTGTTAACCATACTGGAATGTAGTATTTTGTACTAAGTACTGTATTTAAGATGTATTTAATGCATTTTTGCAGTTTGGCCCAGTTCTGTTTCTATGGGAAATGTAGCCATACAGTTACATTATTTCCTGGCTCTCTGTGTGTTAACTTTGGGATGAATCTATTCATTTTCCCAGTTGATTGCTTGCTTCCTTTTTAGAGAGAGAGGGAAATAAATTTAAAATCATTTCATAGCCTTGGCTTTTTTGTCAGAATAAAAAAACTAGGTTTTGCCTCATGGGTTTGACAGCATGCATATTTATGACAAATGTAGGAATTTTCTATCCCATTAAAGTTTCAACAGATAATTTCAGCAGCTAGTCCTTCAGAACAAAATAAATGCTGTAACTTTATAAAGAGTCATTAAAAGCTCTTAAGCCTTTAATAGAATTTGATACCTTTCATTCAGCCTTTAAATAGCATGGGCTGATTTCCTGGCCAGGTATGTACAAGAGAGTTTTGCTGGCAAGCCACTTCTTTCAGCAGTAGCTGAATAACAACAAAAGAACTGTGATGGTTCAATCCTAGTTAGAGTGTTGCAAAAGAAGGGCAAAACAAGTGAAACAGAAGGTCAGAGCGTCTGTGCGAGTATTGGCTGGCAAGAATCCCATTGACTTGTATTAGAAAATACCCAGTGGATATATTAAAAAAAATAGGGTAATTGTTTTGAGAGTTTTATCAGCTCTCTGTTGATCTGGGATATTTTTGGCAGCTTCTTATATTCAGTAACCTTCTATAGTGAAATATGAAAAACTAGTGTAATTCAGTGGATATGATGTACAAAACATCAGTAAAAGATGGCATTTTTTCTGAAGCTTGTTTGTTGTAATCCGTATAACAATGGGGAAATATACTATTCCTGTGCAATAGGATAAATCTTAATATTTTTAACATAATTTTTCAGTATTTTTATTTTAAATCTTGAGATGTTTTTAGTTTAGAGTTTTGGTGAGCTGTAGATTTTGCTTTAAAGCGTGGACAGCTCATGTGCTATGTTCATGAAATCACAGAGTGGTAAGGGGCTGGAATGGACCTTAAAGATCATCCAGTCCCAAAAGCCCCTGCCATGGACAGGGATACCTCCTCCTAGACAGATTACTCAAGGCCTTCTCCAGCTTTTGAACACCACCAGGGTTGAGGCAATGCTTCATCATAACAAAACACATCAAAGGAAAATTATATTATCTGAAAAAAAATAGAATGGCAAAGAAGTATCATAAGAAAAAAGAATATGAATATTAGATTTATAGAAAAATATTTTTCTCAGATAATTTCTTGGAATATAAATGCCTTAGCAGATAAATATTTAGTCTTTTAACACTGTAACAAGATTGCAGATTGCAGTTTGAATTGTAGCTGGATATACAGAACTAAAATAGAAATCATAATATCTGGAGGGGTTTTTTTCAAAGCCTGTTTGTTTTATTGCACTTTTTTTTCATGTAAAATCCTACATAAGCCCACCAGAGACTTTCAGATTGTTTATAATACATCATATTTAATTTTTCAATTTAAAAAGAACAGTAGAATCTAGCAAGAAGTAACAAGCAAGTAGCATTTGTGTACAAACTGCAATGTTTCTTCAGGCAAAAAAATCTTATATAGAGCATGCAGGTTTTACCATTGAAAGTACTTTGCTACCATGTGTAACTTCAAATGAGTGGTGATAATACAAATGGCTGATTTGAAAGTATTTTCATATTCATAATTAAGCTTTGTTGCTTTTTTCTTTCTCTCTCTAAGCGTGATGGAGGGAGTTGAACAGACGCCTGGGAGGAAGAAATCTTTCCTGTTGCAGAGCTGTTCTCTGAGTGTGGGTTTTGATCCAGAGGAAGGCTAGTTGGCTTCACCAGAAGCAGGACTAATAAAAGGCTTTGGTTCTGACTGGCAGTGGAGCAGTAAAGGGCTGCTGGCCCCCCTGCTGGGAACTGCTTTTTTTCACAGACAGAACTGTGGCCCTGTCTAGTCAAATGGTGCTGAATCCACGTTGCCCAGGTTCTGAATTTTGAGCTGAAGGATTCTTCCTGTAGAAGAAATTTCAAGTTCCCTCAGAGTACACACCTTGTGTCATGGCAGCAGTTGTGTCTTTGGTGAGGTGGCTCGTAAAGCCTGATAGATATTGCCATGTAACTACACAGCCCCTCAGCTGGGCATCCTCTGTTTATGTTCAAGGCATTTTTCAGCTTGATTTAAAGCATGTAAATGATGCTCAGCAAATAGTCAGGGAACTAAAACTCAGCAGCTGTCTCCTTTGTGCATCCATTTTCAATAATTAATTGGATATCCTGTGACTTTTAATTGTGAGAAGGGTGATGCTAGTTTTACAACTCCTAAATTCAGTATGATCAGAACAAAAGCTTTTTTGTTCCTAAATGCAAGACTTGTACAGCTATTCCCAATTACACCAATATGAAATAAACTGTAGAGATGTAAAATTTAATTATAACCATTAGAACTTTATACCAGTTTTTACTGTTGGTAGCTCAGATGGCTTACAGACTTTAAGGAATCATTTTTTATGGAGCATCGTTTTTCAAAGGCCATTAGGGCTCAGGATAAATACCACTGAAGAAGTGTGTCCTTGGGCTATAAATTGCAATATTGTTAATATTTGCATAGAACTGGGAAAGCTTTTTAACACAATTTTTTTCTTATGATCAGTACTTTTTTTCCCAGGTGTAGGTGTGTGTTAGGTTTTCTTCAGAGTGTGTATGGAACAATGTCTGCAGATCCCTTGGCTGGCTCTGAGAAGTTGCATCCACAAGTCACTATAAAATAGATCTAGAATTTTATTATTGATTACACTTTCACAGTCAAACAATCACGTTACTTCATTAGGTTTGTTTTTCACCATCATATAAATGGATTTTCTGTAATGGGACAGCTGTCGGCTGCTACTGAATGTGGGTTTTGCAACTTAAACCTGAGAAGGGTAATTCCCCCACTGCGCTCAGCCTTTGAAAAGGCTTTTGGGAAACCACAGATCTCTTCCTTGCCTGCTGGAGAAAGAAGACATGTGTGAGGCTGTGGAAAATGGCATTGATTATTTTTGGAATTAACAGTGCACAGAAAGGCGACAGAAACTGTTACTGTGGAGGAGCTGCAGAATTCCTGACAGGAATTCCTGCTTTTCATGCAGCCTTGTCATGTACCTTTCTCTGTGTGCTCAAGGACTCCTCAGACACTCCTGCAGAGACCAGGGCAGTGTCCTGCTCCACGTGTAACCTCAGGTCACTTCTCTGCTGTCACGTCTTAGAGCAGCAAGATGATGACCCACAGGAGCTCACTGGTACTTGGGCTTTTCCATCTGTTTTATCTGCTTTTGTGCTTGTTCTGTCAGTACTCTGGAAGAGAAATAATCCTGACAAGTGTGTGTGTGCTGCTTGGCATATTAAGCATGAAGGCTGTGAGTGCTGCTGAAAAGCCAATAGAAATAATTAGCTGTACGTCTCTCTTTGAACTCACATTTTCCCTTTAGCAGGACTGTTCTCTGTGTGGTAGCAGTGATATTGGTGCAAGGTCAGGCACTGCTGAGCTCCCAGCTCTGCTTCATCAGCTCCTTGCTGGTTTTTGGCAGGGCAGTGTCCTCCCCCCTCACCTGGGCTGTGCAGGCAGTGGCTGAGAACAGGGAACCATTGCACTGCTGAGAGTCCTGACCCATTTTCAGGTTATGCAAGTCCCCAAGGCCCTTCTAATTCAGTGAGATTAATTCCCTTTTAGAAGGTGCTGAGGACAAACAAAACACTTTATTTGGGACAGGTTTGGGGAACAGCAGCAGTCAGTGAGCTAGGCCTAGATTTCACATTATCTGTTACAGTTCAGTGATAAAAATCAATTAAAACAGGTATTTTTGAAGGAATTTAATGTTGAATATGTGTTAAGTCACTGTCATAGTGGAGGGATCAAGGCTTTCAAAGGCTGTTTCACACTGGGTAAAGATCTGGCTTTCTTTTCATGTTGTCACAGTGCAGGTACCATGCTCTGCAAGAAGCAGATGGCAGAGTTCTGCTCAATGGCTTATTCCTGACCATGATTTACTCAGTGAGGACCACAGTCAGGTCTGACAGCCTGGAGTTTTCACACCAAAGTTGATTAACTTTTAGCCTTTTCAGAAGGTTTACTGAAATAGATCTGAAACTGGCGCTTCGAGTTTTTGAAGAACACCTGGCATTTTTGTTTTGATCGTAAGGGTGCTCAGTCTCACAGCTGAGTCACAGTGAAGCATTTTCATGAGTCTGTTCCTTGCACAGAATTGCACACAACTCCAGCAGCAGGAATGGGACTTACATCCCTGAACCTACTGGCACACAGAAGGCACTCAAAAGTACAAAGCTGCAGAGACACACTTGGAAAGGTTACTGTGGATTTACCTGCAGTCACACTCTGGTCCCTGTGCTGAAATCTGCAGTGTAGGTGATGCCTGTAGAGTATAAACTCTTCAAGCATGAAAAATCTTTTTTTTTTGTTTGCTTGTTCTAAATGGTATCAAGTACCCTTGTCTCTCTTGAAGGGAGGGCTTCATTTCCAGGACTGTTTACTTTTGTCCTGCACAGTTACCTCAAATCGGTGCTGGCTGTTTTCTAATCTGGAAATCTAATCTAATCCTGTAACTCTCAGAGATATTTATTCTGTAATTAAATAGCAATACCTTTTTTGTTTATTAAATTTATCTTTTTACAGCTATTCAGTGAAAAAATAAGTGGAGCAGAAGGAACAAAGTTAGATGAGGAATTTCAAGAGATGGAAAGGGTAAGAAAAGTCACATTATGTGTTTCAGTATTAAGCTATTGCAAAATCAAAAATATTTCATGTTTCAAGTGATTGAATGGTATTGTAGATTTACCTGGGGGAGGAAACCCTATAATGTGCTCCCAAACAGAAAGATAAAAGGATAAATGCAAATTTGTCCTTGAGCCTTGTCAGCTCAGCCAAAGGAGGAGAGACACCCCCAAAGGCTGTTGGAGCAGAGGATCAGGTTCCACTGACAGCTCTCCACAGTGAAGAGGAATTCCTCCAAGAAGGGGCAGAGCATCAGGAGGAGCCTTCCCCTGGCTCTGTGGGAGTTTAGAGAAGTCTGTGGTGTTAGTGAGGCTTTGTATATCACAAAGCCTTTGCATCTGATAAAATTAATGATAAAAATCTGACTACTTGAGCCAGATTTTCTCTTGGTAAAAGATCATATCTTTTAATTTATCCATGTTCAGAAGTTTACATGAAATGGACATGTTTGCTATCCACGGATGAGTTGTGCTGCAAATTAAACAATGTTAGTGCCAGTTTCTGCTTTTACAATTGTTATGTGGTTATTTTTTAATGTTCATAGTAGACTTACTTTTCTTTTTCAGAAAATTGATGTTACTAATAAAGCTGTAACAGAGCTCTTGTCCAAATCCACGGAGTATCTTCAGCCAAATCCAGGTAGGCTAGGAACAATAGGTGTTGGATTTTGATGAACATTGTTTATTACTTGGAAATTAATTTTAGGTAAATAAAAGCTAATTAGGTCATCATTGTGAGGTTTCTGTGTGGAATTCTGCAAAATTCTTCTAAGCAAGAGGGAGTTGGCTTTGACTGTGTTTGTATCCTGCATTTGCTTTCTGCATTATTTCTAATCAAGGAGCTCACAACCAGGACTATTCAAAGGAATGTGAGTGTTGGTGAATATTTGCCTGGAGAATTTATGCTTTTTTAGTTGGGAATAAAAGCTAGTTTCATATGACCCATATTGTTGAATGGAATCTTTTTTCAACTTTGGACTGTGAGGTACTGACAACAGAAAAATCACCAGTCTGAGATGAGCTTCGTGGCTTGCGAAATAATTTATTGCTTTAAATAGATTAGTTTTAAAATTATTTTTTTTCTATGTCCCTCTTAGCATACAGGGCCAAGCTGGGAATGCTGAACACTATGTCAAAGATCAGAGGACAAGTTAAAACCACAGGCTACCCCCAGACAGAGGGACTCCTGGGAGACTGCATGATACGGTATGGCAGAGAGCTGGGCGATGAGTCTATGTTTGGTGAGTTGGTGCATCTCCTCTGCCAATATTTCAGCATAAAGTCCTTTGCAAAGTGTAACTCACTGACATTACCTGTGTAGTTGGCCACTGCAGGTAAGAGGGAGAGTTAAGTGCAGGGATCAGGGGATGGTTGGTACAGCTCAGAAGCAGAATGCTCCTGCACATTTGTCTGCCTCTGTTGAAGGTGGGTTTGATAACACTGTTAGAGATGCTGGCTGACCATCCCTGTTTTTCAGCATTTTAGTTTCTATGTCGCCAAACCTAAATAATTAGGGTGATTCTTAAATGCAGTTTATTTCTTTTAACTTTCATATAAAAATGCCTCTGCTCAATTTGAGAAGTAAACTAAGGGAAAAATTGTTGTAGAAAGAAATAAACAGTAACATTGGATGATTTTTTTTTTTTTGTAATGACTTATGTACAGTAGGGAGAAATTTTTTTTCCTCTGATATCTGTTGGGGAAAAAGAACCCCACAATGTAATTCAGAACAAAAATTTTCTAGTTCCAGTTTTGTATAGAGAACAAGCATAACTTGCATTTTCTTTTTTACTCTTCAAGGGACTGCAGCAGATACAAAGATACCTATTTGAAATGGCTGTTTTAAAAGACAAATTTTCTGCTTTTACTTATCTTGAGATATAAGAGCCTATTCTTTACCACAGGCCTTGCACTACTGGATGCTGGTGAGAGCATGAAGCAAATGGCAGAAGTGAAGGACTCTCTTGATATTAATGTCAAACAAAATTTTATTGATCCTCTACAGTTATTGCAGGACAAAGATTTAAAAGAGATTGGGGTAAGTTTTCTAGGGTAGAGCTTCACTTAGCAATAATCAGAGTCAAATCAACCCTACTTCACTGAGATATTTTTCTTAAAAGCAATAAGGTAAATAAATTTTGCTGTAATGGATTTTCTGTCTAGCAAAATAGTGACAAGATCTGCTTAGAATGAATGCTGGGCTATTTCTGCCTTGTCTAACTTACTCAATTTGCTGTATTGCTTGTACAGTCAGTACAAGCATAGTGAAGAGAATGATATTCTTTATTTTTTCTTCTGTTTTATTTTAATGAACATTTTTATTAATGCTTATGAACATGTGAGTGGGTTGTGATTTACTGCTAGTGATTATCCTATCTTACCATCTCTGTCAGCCTAAAGCTGTTTATAATGGAGAATGAATATAACTGTTAAGAAAGGCTTTTCAGGGCAAACACAGAAAGATCTGAATAGTGTCATAAAATGTTGAAGTGCCATATGCCACTATAGGAAAAAATACAGGATACTAAGGAACACATTTTTAACCTTTAGAGTTAAGTTTTTCAGTGTTTTTACTTGCAATGTGACAATTCAAAGAAATCCAGGCAGTCTTTGTCTGAGTCTGTTGATTCCAATGGATTTGGGTAATAAGCAAGTTAAAACCCTGATGAAATGCAGAAATGAAAGTTATTTTACTTGTTTACACATAAATGGATGTGGAAAGCATAGCAAAAAGATAGCAGTAATGTCTGTAGCTGTCTTGTTTGAAGCATAGCTGTTTTCAGTTGTGTTCTTCTGAGCTGATGAAAAGAAATTGTTTGATGTTAGCTTTAATGAGCATTTTGTCCTGTCACTTTGAATCCATTCTGTGAGTCTGTCAGTCCCAGGATTTTTGGGAACAGAAAAGCTTGTGTAGTTTTATCAGACAGAAGTGTCAGGTTGATATATAACAAGGACAGGAAGAACACAAGATTTTTTGAAGCACTGCTTTATGAGGGGAATATAACCCTTTAACTTTTAGTTGTCATATTGCAGATAATTCAAGATGTAAAATTGAATTACATGTAGAATTTGGTGCGCACAAATATTTAAGTTGGATCCTGCTTCTCTCCGCAGCTCAGGGAATCTGTACTGTTGCACATTTAGAGAAGTCCATTATGTGGATGTCTAAAATAGGCAAATCAAGGCTGCCAGTACCCCAAGTACTACCAAAGGGCTCTTTATTTAAAATTTCATTCATGTATGTGACCCTACACTTACCTGGCACTGCCTGGGGTCATAGGGATGGACTGTACAAATCTCTGAGCCTTGTATTTCTTGAAGTCTCCATATATTTGCATCCATTGATGATATTTCCCGAGATCACAATGTGTTTGTTTGGGCATGTCCCATTTGGTCCTTCTCATAAATGTTGTGTCTCTTTTAGCATCACTTGAAGAAACTGGAAGGGCGCCGCTTGGATTATGATTATAAAAAGAAGCGTTTTGGAAAGATACCAGATGAAGAAGTTAAACAAGCAGTAGAAAAGTTTGAAGAGTCAAAGGAACTGGCTGAAAGAAGCATGTTCAATTTCTTAGAAAATGATGTAAGTCTGTGCTGCATCTTTGTTTGCTGCAGTACATCCTGGAGGGGCAAATGTGTGGGATTGGTTAAAACCACTCCCATCCTTGACAGGAGCAGAAAGCAGAAACTCTTGCCTCTTCCCAATTTTAAATCCCCTTTCAGAGAAGAACATAATGCACAGCAGAGAATCGGAGACTCAAAAATTTTTTCTGGAGATACAGTGACACAGACAAGATGGCCACAGAGTAGCCAAGTAGGACTAGCTGAGAGTAAAATGCAGCTTGGTCAGTGAGAGAGTGAAGGTTGGGAAATTGGTGTAGTCAAGACCTGCTGCTGAAAATCTAAGCAAGGGCATGTACCCTCTGAGGTTTCTGAATTTTAGCTCACTTATATTCAAAACTTCCCTGCTGATGTGGAGTCTCTGAATGGTTTTACCTCGGAAAATCATTACTATTACTCTTTGGCTCTGCAAAGTCCATAGAGTGAGTTTGTGGCTTGGGCTCAGATATGTGGACTTTGGCTCAGAGTCCAAGTCCATCATGAAATTATGTCTAAATAAGGAGCAGCTGTGGCCATTCAGGATAATCCTCCCTTCTGTCCACACAGAGGAATAGCGGGATGTGCTTTCTCCTGCGTAATCATGGAATTATAGGAAAAGAGCTGGACCTACTTGGGCCTATTCCACAGTTTTGTCTTCTCCTGTTGATGCAGCATCACAGAAAACACACAAAGTAAAAATTGTGCTGTCTTCTGTGAGCAAACTGCAACAGTGAGGAGCTATGAAGTGGGAAGATTTAACTGCAAACAGCTTCTCTCTCTATGCACACCCAGTTATAAACCAGCCTGTAGCTCCTGAACTGTTTGTAAGTGGGACACATTTGTTACAGCAGTGTTTAGTGAAAGGGAAAGTTGAGCCTCTTGCTGTTTTACCAGTGGAAGTTAATGAGGGCAGCAAAAGCTGGAACATGCTCTTATCAACAATTTCAGCACTGTTCCACTGTAGGCTCTACCAGTTGCCTGGTTGCAGTGGATGTGTGTTTAGCAATTCTGTCTTGCATGGGCAGCTGAGAAATGTTTCAGGTACTGTTTATCATTAGTCAGAGCACCAAACGAAGGATAAAAGAGTTCAGGAATTCAACTGGTTTAGCTCAGCCACTAGAAAACAGATGAGTTATGCATTCTAGTGTAAGTAATTCTGCCTTTGGGAAGGGGTGAACTGGATATCCCTCTGAAGTTTTTCTTTTCTGTACCCATTTCCGATTTTTTCTGTTTAAATAAAACTCTGTGATCTTCCTCCTCCAGACCCCTCCAGTCTGTCCTCCCAAAACTTCTCATTATAGCCTTGTTGTCTAACCCCAAATGGTCTCACTGTGTTTGTAGAGATCTTAACTGCAATCATCTCCTTCTGATCCTTTCCAGTTCCCCAGGTGTTTCCCTCACTTGGTCTTCTTGGCCTGAAGTCTGTTCTCTGAGCTCTGGTTCCCAGCCATCTTGCCAGGTGCCTTTCCCAGGCTCAATCCTGATCTCCACCTTTCTCAGGTTTTTGCACAGCCAGCTCCAGACCTCCCACATTGACACTGTTGCATTCACTTCTTATCAGATCCATCTTTCTGCCATTCCCACACAGCCAGTCCCAGGTTCATCTTCCTAAGTAGCTTTTAGTCCTTCAAGTTTCTCTGGCTCTTTCCCAGTCTTTCTTTCTCTCTCTCTTCTCCTAATCCACAGCTCCATATTTCTCCTAGCTGTTAGTTCTCTTGTTTGGACAGCCCTTTATCCATTTTCTCTGACCATGCATCCAAACCCCAGGCACTTTGTGTGTTGTCCTCAGCTGTTTATATTACTCTCTTCTGACTGTGATGGGATTGTCTCAGCTGCTGGTTTGGTGCATTTCATTTCTTTGTGCTGTGTGACAGTGTTTGGCTCTCTTGTAGTCCTGGCAGAATTTTTAATGATCTTTTTAACTGAGTAAAAGCAGACAAAGTGTAATACAAAACTGCCATGGGTCCATAAAACATGTGTAGAAAGTTTACTCAGATATTTTCTTATGATCCAATGTCTGAAGACATCATGATGGAATGGAAAGATGTCAGACTTCTTGGGGTCTGTCTTCTTAACGTTGTCTTGAAGAAGACAAATATCTGTTACTGCTCCATACCCCATACAGCTTGAACTTTTCAGCTTGTGTTAGGGGAATGAGACTATTTGTAACTTCATGAATAAAAATATTTTGTTTTGTGTTTCTCCTTCACATTCTCCCTTTCGTCATCATTCATATTTTTGAATGATTGGCTAATATGTTTTAAATCCAAGTAGATAAATCATGTTTCATTTATCAGTTTTTAAATGCTGCCATCTAGTGAGGTAAGTCCAGATCATTTCAGAACTGCACTTTGTAAACATTGATAATAAACACTAATGGGTCTGAGTCATAAGAGCTGTCACAGTGTAATTTCTTCCAGCATTGATCAGAAAAGCTCCACTTTCACCTGCTGAGGGGTCATGTCCTCTTTAATGTTTTGGGCTTGGGTGTTGACAGACAGCTGGCTTGGAAGTTGAAAGCAGAAGGGATTTGCACATTGTGAAAGGAAATGACTCAAGGACCCAGCCCTGAGTTAGTGAACTAGAAGTTACACCTCAGTTTTGTTCAGTTTCCAACTGGCAGTTTCTTTGATAGAATCACATGTGCTCTTTTCCAATAACCTCTACAAGGTACTGTGGTCTTTTGAGATACTGGGTCTGTTTTAAATGATCTGTTTGTTTTTCCTTCTGCTGAATGTACTGCAGAGCCCTTACAACTATTTTCCTCCGTCTTTCAGGTAGAACAAGTCAGCCAGTTGGCTGTGTTTGTAGAAGCAGCACTAGATTACCATAAACAATCCACAGAAATTCTGGAGGACCTGCAGAGCAAGCTGCAAAACCGGTAAGACAGAACCCCTCAGAAAATGCTGAACCTCTCTGCAGCTGAGGTTCACAACGTTGGAAAGTCACTGAAGCAACAAATCTTGTAGCACCACCTCCCAGATGCACATTTGCTGTGCTTTGTGCCAGACTGAGCTCCATGGCTTTAAACCCCTGCCATCTGGCAGCTCCTTGCTGTGCTGGGAGACTTTAATGTAACACAGGATCTGCCCAGGGAGCTCTGAGTGTGTGCAGAGTCTCTCCCATCTGTGGTGGTTCATGGGGACAGCCTCCCTTTGTTTAGAGGTTTATTTCAACTTGCATACTTTGAGTTGTGTTTTGGAGGATTTGCTTGAAAGTTGGCCTGTTTTTATTGAGATTAAGGGGTATAACAAAATTCTACAGCACAGTAAGGAACCAGCCAGCTGGCCAGGAACAGAGCTGTGCTTAACACACATAAGAAAGGCCCAGGTACTTTGTGTCAGCCTAAGGAAAGGGAGAAATGCTGCTGTCACTGGTGTGTTACTCAGGTCACCAGAGACCTGAGTGTTGCTGTGCTGTAGGGAGGGTCAGGAGAACTGCTTGGGGCTGTCAGCTCAGGGTGGCTGTGGGGGCTGTGAGCATTGGCATGAGGACAGCTGTGTCTGCAGACACCCTGTGCCATCCCAGCTGGAGGGGCCGGGGGGACAAGGAGCTCTCTCGTGGGGCACACACAGCAAGAGGTACTAGACAGTTTTGCTGGCTAAATGTTTTTTTCCTGTATTCCCTAATAAAAAGGCCATGTGTGAGATGCAGTCCCTGGGCCTCTGTCCTGGATGTGTTTCTCCATATGTCATTTACATTTGAGCTTTCCAGGGAACTCATTCCTGCAACTTGTGCTGAACTCAGTGGCAGCTGTGGGTGCTCATCACTTCTCAGACTCAGGCTGTTAAGCTTTATGCCTTTGTCAGCAGGACCGAAGTATTAAATAAATTAGGGACTTGTTGAAATTCAAGTATTGCATGAGAATTGAGCAGCTTTTAGTAAAAACATACACTCCCTCCCAAAACAAACCAACCAACCAAAAAACCAAACCCAACACCATAAAACCAAAACACAAACCAGCCAAAAGAAGCCTAAAACTACAACCAGCAGAAGATTTTCTTACTTCACCTTTCAAACAGCAAAGTACTTAACTTGAGCTTAAGTTCTGTAAGTATTTCTTCCTTCTTTCTTCGTAAGTAAATCTCTTTCTGCTTCTCTGTGTTACAGAATAAATGTAGCATCTAGTCGGCCTAAGCGTGAATTTAAGCCAAAGCCTGTAATAACTACAACTCTGGAAATTGGTGATAATCAGCAGCACAATGGGATTGCCTATAGTTCTTCCATAAAATCATCAGGTGAGTCTGTCACCACAGAATTAATGTGTCTAGATGTTTTGCCAAATTGTTGCTTGAGGTATTTCTTGTACCATGAGAACAATGGATCCATCAGGCATCAGTATCAGTGCATCTGACTCCAGATTGCTTCCCAGATTTCAAAACAGAGCTGTGAATCAGGGTTCCTCTCAACAGACTCTCACCATCTGAAATTTAGGTGTGGCATTCTCCTTGGTCTTTTAGGTCTTTGAATTGCCACGGAGGGTGGGAGGAGAGAGAGGGAGAAGCACTTGAAGAAAACAGTTCATTTCTTGCAAAGACAGATGCCTACAGTGGGTGTGTTTGAGCACAGTCTGGAGTATCTCCAGGTGCTAATTTTTCTCCACAGTCTCAGAGCATAAATGTACAGGATCTCAAATATTAGCTATGTAAAATTCAGAGGTGACTCCCACCCTTACTGTTTTTACCATCTTATAACTTTACTATCCCCTAAATTGTGCACCAAAGTATGAACTGAAGTACTTTAGGTACCTGTTGGTGGAGTCTAAGGACCCTTTCCTTTGGTAAGGCCCTGATGTCATAAAAAAGGCAACTTTTGAAAGTTGTGTCAGTAACAATCAGTAATGTTACACATCAAAACAGCTTTTTCTCACCTCGTGAATAAAATTATTTTGCCTTGTCTCCTTGATAACTACATTGTATGATGAGATGAGCCCAGCTGAAAAACCAAGCAAATAAAACCCCCAAACAACAAAACCCGAATGACAATGTGCAAAGAAAAGAGAATGAAAAAGCCAGAGATTTTTCTATAAACATTATGTGGAAGGAAGAGAGAGGAGAAGTAGTAAACCAAAAGTTCCCTTCTGTACTTAGCATGGCATCTAGGATCTTTTCCTAAAGGTTTGTTTTTTTGGTTTTTTTCTCTAACTCTCCGATATCTTCTTCTCTCCAGTCTTGTTCCTTTTAAAGGTTGTTGGGAGAGAAATGAGAGAACTAAAAGTGAAAGAATAAAGCTTGGATCTGTAACTTCATGCTCCTTCCAATGTCTCTTGAATTTTCTTGCACTGTGCTACAAGAGGAAACCATTATGCAATGCATGTTGAAGGGGATTTGCAGTTTGGCAGCATAAATCCACCCAGCGAGATCTGATTCCTCAATTTGTTTGAAGCTCCTTGTGCTGCCTGAATGCTGAGTTTTTGTGTTGCTGTAAATTGTGGGATGGAGGGAGACAATCCCCTCTGTGCATTATCTCAGCTTCCTAAGACCTGTGACACAAGGACACATTTGATCCAAAGCATTGGAGGTGTTTGCAGGGATCAGTAACTTCCTTGGTATTTTCACAGCACATCGGGATGAAAGTAGCAAAAACATAGCAACTTTATTAAAAATCACCATAAAATTTTTTGGTCCTATCAACTACTTACCAGGTTATATAGGATTTTTTTTTGCCTGTTTTGCATGTGCAGGGAAGAAAGGAGATTCAGATTCAGCATTTGTATATAAGCTAGTGTGTCAAACTGCATTACAGTGGTTTATCTTTGCCATCCAGCAGTTGTTCCAAGATGTGCTTTAAGGATAATCAATCCTGCCTTTGGAGAAAGTCAGATGATGACTTCTCCAGGTTGCTTCCAGCCCACTTAGTTAAAGAAAAATCTCAGTTTTAATGAGATGAAATTCAGTGAAAACTGAATAAATGACCACTGATCATTAAGATAGAGAAGGAGTGAGGCACTTCCATTCACTGACTCCATCCATGGACTGTTGCACCAATTGTTTGCATATCACTGAATGAGGGGTTGTCACTGCATCACTTGCTTAGTGCTGTCAGAATGGAAATGAAATAAAACCACCATAAAAGAGATGAAGAGGTGAAATAGGATATATGAGATAATTTTTGCCATACTTACGTGCTAATAACATTAGAAAGACAATGTATGCTGGTTTTTTCCTCCTGAAGGAGCTGTGGATGCTGTGCTTACCTCCCCAGCAGGTACAAATCATTACTGAAATATCTATTCATTCTCTTTTTTTTCCTATTCCTACTCAAATATTGTTCATACGGATTTCTGTGAACTGCAGTGGGCTCAATATGCCCTGCTTTTAAATGGGAGAACCTTTCTGTCCCTTTTTAAAATCAGAATCATGACACAGATAAGATTTTTTTTTATTACCTGTGATTTAGAAACAGGAACCAGGCAGTTCTAAGCAAAACTGCTAAATGTCTTAAAGTCTCCATGAGGTGGGGAGATAGCATTGTAATCACCTTCTTTTTGTTTAGGAAACTGACCTCCCCATCCTTCATTTTCCCCACTTCCACACTGACCCTATCAAAATGCAGATCTTTAATTCCTCTGATAGTGTCCCTCAGGGTACATAGTGTCTTGGTACTCAGCAAAGCCATGGAGATCTGCAGGACAGTTCAGAGTGTGGTGTGACACATTCAGCACAACTGCCATAGTACAGTTCTGAGCATGGAGGTGACTTCTCCCATGTTCCACAATAGTTTTTCAACTATCAGCTTCTTGGAGCAGAAATACTGTTTTCCTTTGTATAGTCTCTAACATGTGAGGATTATTCACTACTTAGGACTCGCACACTTTTGCAGGGCTAGATTCACATAAACTTAATTTTTATGTTCTTGCAAGTTATTTGGCTGCTTTAATGCAGATAAAAAATTCTCTGCTTCTAATTCATTGTTATGCTCATTAATGAGCTGCAGCTGTGAGCATCATCTGGCTCATTTTAGAACTCTTTAATTGCTGTATTACATCATGCCTTTCACTGAGTTTGTTTGTCAGGTTTGACTATGATATGAAATATATGGATCTGGTTGCCACATGCTGCAATTTAGCATGAGCATCTAAGTGTTTACTCACTTCAGCTATGAAGGAGACTGGAATTAATTATCTTAGAAGCTTCCAGTTTGTGATTATTAAAATACAATCTTGCTACCTGATGTATACAGCATGCTATAGAAGGCAGAGTAGATGCAGGTACAGGCAGTAACACTCTCCCTTTGGGGAAAACAAACAAAAAACCCAAACCATCATTGAATGGCATTTTGGTTTCATCCTGTAACACTCCAGGAATCACAGACAGCTTCTTGTTTACCCTGATTTTGTGCTGTCCAGATCTGAGTGGTCTGGAAATTAATGACAGTTCTTTTTTGATTGTGAGAGAGATGTAAACTAGAGAAATAAAAGAGGTGCATATGGAGTCGCAAATTAACATAAACCCTGTTGGCAGAAATAGAAGAGTGCAATTTATTTAGGTAAAACTACTGCAACATTTGCGCAAGTAGACAGCAAAAGGCTGGAGTGGTGCCAGCAGTTCTGTGATGTTAAGCAGTGTGTGTTGCAGAGTGTCAGGCAGTGCTGCCCCCTTACCTTTGTCATGGAAGCTTTGTCTCACTGGATAATACACAGTAGCAGCAGCTGCCTGACTCTAATGAAGACTTTGACTGATCCTGCAGCCTGCAGTGAAACTGGTTGTGCTGGCTGTGGCCATTATTTAAAAACCTTCCCAGGCTGCCAGACGTTTCTTTGCAGTTCTTTGGAGCTTAAAATGAACCAAATGTGATCCATCTCTGATCAGGTAGCTCACTGTCAGAAATTAAGTGGCCTGCAGTGACAAATCAGCCCCATCGGAGCAGGCGGTGCAGGCAGCGCCTCTGTCAATTACCGCCATCGGCGCCTTCTGCTGCTGACAGCACTTCTACCTTGGCAGAGGCTGAAAATAACTCTGCTATTTTTAAACACAATCCGTCCATTTTTGCTGGGCAACTGGCTCATCATCTCTTTTTCTGCATGGAGTCCTTCAGCAAATATATGACAACCAAGCTTGCCCCTGTCCCAGAGTATTAGAGCAGCTCTAATGGAGCTGGTTCTTGTAGGACTTCGTCACTACCCTGCGCCTTCCAGAGGATGAGCCTGGCATTGTGAGAGTGCTGCTCTAGGAAAGTTTACTTAGTCTCTGTTGGCACTTCTCTTCCATTGTTATAAATAAAAGCTCTCTTCTGTTGCTATCAAGGGTAAAATATACCCACAAAAGAGAAAAGCAATTCCTACTTTCCAGTTTTAACAGCAGATATTGCCCCCGATTGTATTATTGTCAGTTAAAAAGATGCTTTCACCTGTCTGTTTTCTCTCAGTGATCACCACTGGTTCTTAGCTGGTTTCCTTTAGAGAATTTTAATTCTTTATCTAGAAAATCCCCGAGCAGTTACTCTTTGATAGTTTCCTATGTGTTACCATGATTAACAGGTTAAAATGCATTTTTTCCATTTTAGCTGTTATATCTGTATTGCATTATCAGTTGCATGCAGGTTTACCCAGTAAAGAAGGATAGCTGGGAGACTCAAGGACTGGACTATTTGAGTATTGCTGCAATGTTCCCAATAAGACGACCTGAATAATTTAAGTACTAATGTTCTAGCGGTGTCATGCTATAAGGTGTGTTACTACTCTTTACAAGACAGCAGCATTAAGCCTTTTCTCCTGTTCTTCATTTATAAATGTATTTCAGATTACCAGACTTTTACTTGGATATGTTACATATGTTGTTAAAAAAATCTCTTATGGCTGAACTACAGTTGAACCATGGAGTAGTTCTCGACCACAGAGTTGAGCGTTACAATTTGAACATAATTATTTTAATGAAATGTATTCTAATTATTCATAAATACAAATGTTACATATATATTGGTACCACCAGTCCAAGCTAATTAGTACTCCTCCATAAGAGTATCTTAAAAAAAGGTATTTGCTGCATTAACAAGTTAACAAGGTTAACTTTTTAAAAAATGTTTAAGGGCGATTTGAAATTAAGATCTTTTTTGGAATGAACTGCCAATGATGAGAACGGCCAGATTCTGTATCAGAAGACAGTTTTCATCCCTAAAGTAATTGGACAGGTGAGGTGCCTTTGTTCCTGCCACAGCCTTTGCCTTAGTTCAGATGGAGGATGTGTAAAATAACGGAGTGGAGCACATGAGCTCAGGGAGCAGTAACCCAGAACTGTCACTGCTCAGGTGAGGGTGGAACCTCACTCCTGCCATGGCACGTGTGGTGTGAAAATCCAGGGGTCTGCCTCAGCCTGTGGGGCTGTAGGACAGAGCAGGAGCCCCTGCCCCTGGAAGGTGTTCCCACAGGACCAGTGGCTGCAGTGCCATTTGTTTAAAGTATTCCGTGTCATTTCCCCTGTTGACTTTTCTGCTTCCTCCACTCCTGCCCTTCCGATTCCTCTGGCAGCTGCTCCACAGAGAGCACATGGGGTTTGACAACTGATTTCTCAAACCCTCATTTGGAGATAAACATCCTTTTGCGAGGGAAGGCAGCTAGGAATGAAAGAGGAGTAGCATCAGAACTTAAAGGAACAATTATGTATTAAACTTATTGTGACTAATCTGCATTTTATATGTAGAAGCACCAGATGCTAATGAATAAAAGCAATGGAAAAGCTGTTGCTGCTGACATGACAGCAGGGCTGCATTTGTGACCCCTTGTTTTGTGCTTAGGGGCTGGTGGGATGCTGTGAAGCTCAATTAATGTGGTTGTTTTTTCTGTCACTGGGGCAGGTTCTTCAGTGCACATGGATCAGCCTTGCTGCCAAGCTCTCTATGACTTCGAGCCAGAAAATGAAGGCGAGCTTGGATTTAAGGAAGGGGACATCATAACTTTGACCAATCAGATTGATGAGAATTGGTATGAGGGGATGTTAAATGGAGAGTCTGGCTTCTTCCCCATTAATTATGTTGAAGTGATAGTTCCCTTGCCTCAGTGATCGTGTCATTCGAGCTGTGAACATGATTTCATGACTGAAATGGATTAACAAATGTTCTGTCAGTGTGGCATTCTGTGAAAGCCTTGCTATTTGACTGACTTACTGACTTTTGTATGCGTCTTTTTAAAATGTATTTATTTTATATTCAAAAAAATTTCACCTTCCCTGATTTGTCAACCTGCAAAAAAACCCATACCCAGTTTTTTTGCTTTGTGCCTTGAAGATCACTGTATGAAGTGTTTACTGGTAGCTCACTGTTGCTCCAAAAATGCATTTCCTTGCTATAATTGTATGTGGGTTTTTTTTTTTATCTTTGGCTGCAATGATTTTACTATTGAAAACCATTTTAAAAAATACTGTTAGTGAAGCTAACTGTAACCAGTTCCTAAGTTACTGACGTCCTTGAGCTGTTTTCATCTATCACACCGTAATTTATTGTGAACAAGTTAATTCCTCTTTTGCATTGTATGTTGACAAAAGGCAAAGTGGTTGTTGTCAATATTAAGATGACGTTGTAGTAAGTACAAGTTCTCAGCATTTAAAATTGGTATAATTTACTGACCAAACTGAATAAATATTTCTGTGGGATAAGCAAAGTAGTTGCTTCTTCTGTACTGATGGTTCTGGCACTTGTTTGAGCAGCAGGCCACTTCTGCTGAATAGATCAGCTTTCAGTGACAATGCATGAATAAAAAAAGTATTGGTTTTATGACACCTTTGCACTGCAATTTTAATAATCTTGCTACTTCTTGATTGATTGTTCAGCATTTATGTCTGTTAACATCTTTTTCTAGCAGAAGGAAAAGAGAGAAGTTCCTTGGAACTAAGTACAAACTGCTCCTAGTTCCATAGGGTTTGTAGAGAACTCCAGTGAGAGAAAGGGGTGAGTTGCACTGGTGCCTACTGCACACAAATGAGAAGTCAATACTTTTCTGTTTCTTATATTTAGTTGAAAGGGATAGAAAGGAAGAGAAAGAACAATAGGCAGTGATGGAAAGACATGTAATAACTAAAAACATAACAGAAAGGAAGAAGTTTGGCATCAGAAGTACTTATCCCAATGCAGATAGAATCACTTTGTTTTTGTTTACCATATCCTGCTTTGCTTAGTAATGTAACAGTGACCAAACAAAGTGAGCAGCCCTGGAGGAAGAGGCCAGTTGCTCTCCACAGAAGACAAATTTATGAGAAGAGAGATGAATTCTTTACAGGGAAGTTGTTTACTGAAGATTCTTCTTAAGCTCATAGCAGTTCAGCTCTAGTTGAAGTCAGTGATGAAAAGGAGGGCAGAGTGCATTGCTGAAGGTTTCTTCTCTCTGCAGTCCCTAAAATCACCAGTTTTATTACTTCAAAGTCATTTGAACCACTCAACAGAAATCATTGAACAGACAGACCTTTATTATTTAATCTGCAAATATTTAAATCCAAGACTGCTTTTATATACATGAAAAATATCTTCAATAGTTAAAAAAGTTTTAAGAAATAAAGATAAATACAGCAAAGTTAGAGCAGCAACTATTTCTATTGTTTGAGATGGAACAAGAATTTGGATCTGCTAAAATCCAAGTCTTAAACCAGCACCTACTATTGATGTCTCAAAATCAGAATTTTTAAATAATATAAGAGTTTAAGCTAGCATAAGGAAAATCTCACCTTAGCACCTGCATCCTCACACAAAGCAGGTCTTGAATTTGGAACTGAACACTTTGGCAAGATAAGACAGTCAAAACACTACTCCAGCATGGAGAGCAATCTGCAGGCTCAGCTGCTGCCCTCTCCTCCTGCTCTCAGGTGGAAGTTTATTTCATGTGGCTCAAAGCCCTTCCTTGCCCCCGGGGCCAGCAGGGGAGCAGTTTGGAGGAGAGACAGAGTGCCAGCAGTGCCTACGAGGCTGACTGTCCCCTCCTGAGGGTTACAGGACAGCATTCCATGGAGCACACAGCTACCAGAGTGACAGGGAGCTGCACAGTGGCCCATAACCAGTTTTTCCCCAGCTGTCCCGTTAGACACACAGCTGCAGCCTGCATGGAGATTTAGCTCCATAAGCCACATAAGACTCCAAGAGCAGGGAGTTTGTGTTTTTCACTACAGCTGGGGCTTTCTAGCTTTGATTTTTGACTTAGCATGTTTCTCTCTAGCCCCTTAGAAAGCTGCTGGGACCAATCAAACAGTGCCAGCAGCACAGGTCACAGTACCTGCTCTGTCAGAATGAGATGCTTTTTCACATTTTCAGGATACATTTGTCTAAGTTAAGGCTGGTACAGCTCTGCTGTGATACACTGTACCTAGGAATATACAATACTGAAACGGAGACTTCCAGGTGCTAGACTATAGAAACAGTACATTTAATAACAGGCAGGAATATTTTTGACAACTTGCTTTTAATTCTAAAGTGTTTCACTCGAGGAAGTGATCCAGACCAGTTTTATGTATCTCTGCATCAGGATCTGAGCAGGAAACATTTCAGACCACTCATCACTCTTCAGGACAGTGTTTTACTTTAGACTTGCTCAAGGTGCAAAGGTGTGATCGGTCCCATGTTTCCCACTCAGGCTGGAAAGAGAAATTACCTTTGGAGAACTCCATGTCAGAATACTGAGAAAGCGGAGGCAGCCTCATGTTCATTGTCAAGTATTTAACATCCTTCTAGGGCACATGTTTAGAAGCTTTGTAAACTCTGTACCCTTCTCTGTTTCAGCAGGTCACAGAAACCAGATCCTTGTGTAAAAGTGAAAACAACTTCACATGGAGCTTGTACTCTACTGCTCTTTGTATCAAGGCCAGGGTCCAGTAATCAGAAGGCAGGAAATTCCATCATGTTATGGACAATGCTTCTCACAAAGACATCAGATGGAATATGTGAGTTCCAAATTCCAGATATGACAAAAGGTATCAATACACATACAGTCTGTGTCACCTGGGACTGAGATGTGTTTTCAGATTATTGTCCACATTACATGACCAAACAGCTGGAATCTTCATTTTGCTGCAGAGAGAAAGCATGAAAACATTAGGCTAATTAGCATGTGTACAAACTTAATATTTCTTGCTGGTTTCCTACTTGATCCTCATATAGGCAGGTAGGGTTTTTAGCACTTTGTAGATTTCATTACTTATTAATAAAGCCAAGCAGATTTTCAGAAGGCAGTACATGAACTGTACTACACAAGTCTTTAAGTCCATGCAATATACGAGCCTGTGCCTTCCTAAATGAAAGGCTGTCAAACTGCCCATCGCTTCCTCTCTTCCCAAGCATCAGAACCTATGTGGCATGCAGATACTTGCTGCCCTCATTAGGATGGTAAAAGCAGAAGCAAAACATGGAAACCCTGCCTTCCTTTAAAGCACAGCATGCATTCTAAGCATTACTTTACTGCACGCAACAAGTTAACTTCTGTTTACTAAGCAGCCGTTTCAGTACTACCAAGGCAGCAGACAGGAATGACATTAAAATTTGATTGGAAGTATTAGAATTGATTCTTACCATAAATGGCACACAACTGTATTGTAAAATTGCTGATAAAACAGATTAGAAGTGTAAGGAAAAAGTTACTTTTGCTTGCCATCACTGATTATTAAACAAGTCATATAAGTAAATTTAAAAAATGCCTTTTAAAATAAAAAGAAGCCATCCTTGAGGAGAGGCCCTACTCTTGAGTGTGAAAAGAAGCTTGTGTCAGTAAGAGCCAAAGGGCAGAACAGCATTATAGACCTTCTCAATAGCCTGTTTAACGGGGTATCACCATCCTTCAGTGAGACTGAAAATATTACAAGAATGTGCATGCAAGTCAGGAGACTGACAAACAGGGTATTGTAGTAACAGATATTTACCCAGATTTTCTGTTAGAAAGGACAAAAAACCAAAATAAAAAACCAGCAGGCAGTAACTGCCTGTTTAGGTAATTTTTTTTCAGAAAGACAGTACTAAGGTACTTTTAAGTTAGTTTGCAGACAGATTATGAAAATATCTGGGAAATGGTAGTGGGAGCTTTAACCTAGTGCAGCAATATGCAACTCCTCCTTATAACTGTGTGGGGTTAGTTTTAGGAAGAGCTGCAGTAGCTGAACATTTGCCAGCTAGAAAGAGAGAGTTTTTAGCTAAGCATCCCCTAGCTCTCAGGCTTTGGAGTTTGTACCACAGTACTGTTTCAGGTCAAGACACAAACCAACCTGAGTCAAGTACAATCTATAATTGTTTGGTTGGGACAAACTTAAAGCCCTCATATTAGTTGGTTTAGACCATTTCAGCAATTAAAGATAGCTAAAAGTATATCAAAGTACAGTAGGAGCATCCAAAATGCATCACTTCAGACTTGTATTCTGGTCAGTCAAAAGACATTTGAGGGGGCTGGATAGTCTTGCACAGGATATTACACCATGAAAGTTGGTAGCCAAAAGTTTTTAAGTGTATTGACCTTAAGTTCACACTGGAATTGTCTTACAAGGAATTTAAAAACACTGGAGTGTCAAGTCACTTCATCCCCCAGAAGCAGTTAGTGTTTGCATTCTGTTCTTGGGATAACAGCTTTAATTCACAGTCAGATATGTAGATGAAATGGATATTAAAGGTTGAATTTTCAGTGTGTCAGTAATAAGATATCAAACAATTAATGCTGCTGTTTGATCATACTCAGAGAATAAGCAGAACTTCAGTTGCGTTTCTGATGCAAAGCCATGCAAGCTACATCCTACGTGGGACAAGAGACTGCAGCACTACTGATGAAGCAAGTTTGCTGTGAGCTGACAAGCATGATTCTCACCATCTCACCTGCTTAAGGATCTCACAGGGACCACTATCATGAAACCAAACAACATTTCTTTTTTCTTCTTCTTTTGGTCTGACATCAAGAAAAACATTAAGAGTTGTGGGATATGAAGAGTACTTGGAGAAGTATTTTCATTTAGTAAGGAAAAGAAATAGCCATTGAATGACTCTGCTGACAGCATATATTTAAACTTCAGAGGCAGCTTACCTGTATTTCTTCATAATCATCATCCTGCTCGCTTTCTTCTTCTCTGGGTACAAGCACTATCTTCCTCTCTGCAAGTTCCTAGAATACAATTGAATTGCCACCAAGACCCCACAGGAATTAAGCACAAACAAGTTTAGCATTAGGACAGTAGAAGCATTTTATTATTCCACTTACCTCACCATTATCTGTGATGAGTGTAACACCAATATTATCTCCAGTTCCCCAAGATTTCTGAGACCTCCAGACCAAATCACTAGGACCTGGGCTAACACCAGCAGCTGCACCCCAGATCTGCAACAGATTTACAGTGAGCTTCTGAAGAATCTTCTTCTATAGTTAGATTACAATTCAGCTGCACGTATATAATTATTAAGTATTTTAATACCACAGACGTCCAGTAGGAGAAACTGAACCACTAATTCCTGGCAAGTTAGTTCTTTTCGGGACTTACAAGAATGGTTGGTAAAGTTTTTCTAACTGAAGATTGTAAAACAGTGCAGAAAAGGCAGTTAACAGCTTCTATCCAATGTAGAGGTAGTCCTGCTTGGCCACACAGAACATTTGAGTCACAGAGCCAAGCCATAGTCACAGACCTGCTCAGGGCAGCCACTTGTGTGTG